ACAATGACTTTTTATTTAGGGCTTACTTTCAATGTTACAGGGAAAAATATGTCGAAAAACAGGTAATTTTTCGTTCTGTTTTTGTGTCTGTTGTTCCCTTTATCAATGGTTTTTTGGAATAAGCAAACTCGGATTCTTATTCTAAATAATATTTGGGATTTTTCTGTACAACAAAATAGGCGACTACAAACACCGCCTGCCTGGTATATTTACTTAATAGAATGCCCACTTTAATTTATTTTTTGATTGATGCTACTGAATTTGATAGTTTTTTACTACATTTTTTAGCATAAATTTTAAATTAAATTAAATATACTTATTTTTTGTCGTGCAGTATTTTGCGTGCTGACATCTCAGCAGAAATGAAAAAGTAACTTCATTTAAATTTAATATTAATAGTACAATAATGCAATTAACTATTCCCTTTCGATGTGCCAATGGCACAATTATTCTAATTACTTGCAGAAAATTTTACAATATCGCGCCAGCTTTGTTTTGTTTTCGTTTCCTTGGAAACGCACAGCGACGTATTAGCATAAAATTGATGCAACCGTGGACTGGAGAAAAAGTAAAAATATACGGTAAATAACAGAAAATTTAAATTAGTTCTGTGGAGTTTATATGCATAACTAAGGAACTAGGTACGTCTATTAAAGAGCCTCATATTTCAAGAGTCAAATCCTTTTCCATCAGAGTGATCGAGGTATTCTCTGGAATAACGGGTCATTTTTCACTGTTCCATTTCATTCGACTGAGAAATGACGCCTGTTTTTCGGCCCCGTAGAGCTTCCCAACCACAAAGTTCGTTTTCTGTCCGTTATTACGACTTACGCGGGATTAATCTTGATGGGAATGGCATTTGCATGTCTTTGTTCGATGGGATAATTATTAATTTCTTTCGGCTGTTTTAGCCGGCGGTAAATTGGCAATTGTTTCGTTTTCATAATCCTGTTCGGGGGTTCATTCACAAGTCAATAAGTGGGCCATGCTTAAATTGTCTCTAAGAAGAAAGAATCGTTATACTTGTTCTACGATCATCAATTTTTAATATTTTTAAAATTTTCTTTTTTTAAATATTAGGTTGCCTACTTGCAAGGTGTCCAAATTTAACTGATAACAGTTAAATTAAAAAAAAAAATTTTTTTGAGGATGGTAATTAATTATTATGTTAATATTAGTCCGGTCAAAATAGACATTTCAAATAACGAAAATTCCGACAGAGCTAAATTTTGGTGGAGACCTTGGATACGCCATTAGAAATAAAGTGTCAAAAGTCCCCATCGATCCCATGTGTGCTAAAAAAGTTATTCGGGGTCAAAGGTCAAAATTTGAGGTTTTTTTTAGAAAAAGGTAAGTTTTATTAAAAAAGTAGCCCTGACAAAAATTATAGATCTTAAAATTGTCTACAAAAATGGTGCTAATACTTTTTTTCTAAAAATCACCATTCCTGAGATATCGCGATTCTAAAAGTTGAAGGAGTCACTTTCTACATGATATGCACACATATGCCACATATATACATAGTCAGGCACTTAATACAAGTAAAAACGCCTATTTGTGTCTCTTATATGTATAATCTATACTATTCTGAGAATATACACTCAAAAGAAACTCAAACCTTTAGTCAATCCCCTCTACCCGCATGGCCTTGAATAACATCTGGTTAGTCTATTGTAAAAACTTTTGTAAAAAATACACGAAACAAGAAACAAGTACAACTATCTTGTCTTCCTCCAACATCGGCTTCTGCTAATCAACACTTATATCGAGTATATTATCAAGTTCAGACATGGCTATAGGCAATCAACTGAACCCAGAAGACTGGGGTTTGAAATTAACAGATAACACTTTGGAACCGATTCAAACTTTACTCCCACTTTTTAGTCCGGAAAAACTTCTAAACACCATTTTTTGCAATTGCAAAAAAGGTTGTAGTGCTAAATGTGGCTGTAGAAGATTAGGGTTACTGTGTTCTTAAGCGTCTACTAATTGCCAAAGCCAGTCTTGCTCAAATGTCCAATTGAATACAACAGACGTAGATTCATGTGAATTCGATGAAGAAACAGCTGATTTGAACAATTTATGAACATCCAGCAAGAAGAAGAGGAAGAAGAAGAAGAAGAAATCGAAGAAGACATGACTGTTGAAGTCGACTTTGAAGAGTATGAATCATATTAAAATATCAAAAGAAATCAGAACTACAGTTAATGTCAATAACCAATATCAATAATCATCATGGAGTTAAAAAAGTATTGTCCCTGAAAATTCCGTCATAAAAGTTCGTGGAGTAGGCCTACCGGGGAAGCCACGTTAAAAATGTGCATATCATGTAGAACGGGACTCCTTCAACTATTAGAATCGCGATAGCTCAGGAATGGTGATTCTTAGAGAAAAAAGTATAAGAACTATTTTTGTAGATAATTTTAAGATCTATAATTTTTGTCGGGCCTACTTTTTTGATAAAGCTTACCGTTTTCGAAAAAAATCCAAAAAAAAAACTCAAATTTTGTCCTTTGACCCCGAATAACTTTTTTAGCACACATGGGATCGATGGCGACTTTTGACACTTTATTTCTTATGGTGCACCCAAGGTCTCCACCAAAATTTTAGCATTGTCGGAATTTTCGTTATTCGACCACTATTTTTATGACTAATTTGACCGGACTGTATATATTTTTAAATCAAATTACTATGCATTAAGCACAACACAAGCAAAATTTAATTAACTCCAGATATCGAAATACATTTTATTGTATATTATGCAAAACTGAAGTGTTTTTTAAAAGTTGTTCATTAAATTAGCTGAACCGTTCATTCATAAACTAATTTTATTACTGTGATTATTTTTTGACGTTTCTTAAAACCAATGAAATGCTTCTTTATTTGTCACAAGGGTAAGTTTCAACCAATTATGTCATTATTATATTGGGAATAAATCTCTATTGATTTGTCTCGGGAATAATTACTGTGGCTTTTATTTGCGTAGCAAGTGTCAGATAGTTGTCAAAATAATTACCTAATTGTGTCAACGCGATATATAAAACGGGTGAAAATCATCGGTTTAGTACCTTTTCTGATGCAGAAATAACAAAAAAGATTGTAGAAACTACTTCGAAAAATACTCTAATAAGTAATCAGTCTATATGGAGACAATTTAAGACCTTCACCAAAGAAAGAAATTATATTCTGGATCAATCTACTACAGCTACTCTGGCATTGATTTTGAAAGATTGGGCTTATAACATGAAAAGAAAAGACGGAAATGATTATAAAGAAGCAGTAATAAAGACAATGTGGAATAAAACGGCAAAATTAGTTCAAGAACTTTAATAAGTATAACAGGTCCTTTGATCCTCTCCATGATATATAATTCAAAAATGCTCGAAATGCAAGAGACGCAAAAATAAAAATTTTACAAAAACATCCTGAAAAGCACAAACAAAGTTCTGTGGCACTTTCTAATACAGAATTGTTGCAAATTTTTAACTATTGGGACGAAGATACACCTTGTGGATTGCAAAGAAAGTTTTTTCACGTTGCATCGTATGAACTAGCTTGGAGGGGAGGAGAAGCTACGAAATGTTTAGTTCATTATTTTAAAAAAGAAACCGACATAATAAGATTAAATACTGGCCGCATTGAATATAATCCCATCTTTACAAAAACTGCACAGGGTGGAGCACAAATGTGCGCTAATAGTAAATGGTTGACTCCAAACATAAATAACCCAGATATTTGCCCTGTTCGTCTTTTTGAAAAACTAATGGGTAAACGTGAAGAAAATATTAAAACCGAACGCTTGTATAAAAACGTTCCTGTGGGAATAAATTCCACTTCAAAATGGATGAAAGAATCCGCAGAAAAAGTAGGTCTAGACACAGTTACTAAAAAAATAACTAACCATTCTGCCAGATCAAGTGCAGTAAGTAACTTTTCAAAAGCTGGTGTATGAGAACAAGAACTAATCAAGGTCACTGGTCATAATTCTGCAAGTTCGATTAAACCATACGTACAACTGAACCAAGAACATCATTCAAATATAATAAATAATCTTAGAGAAAATACGCAGGAGGAAACACATAATATAACAAGCAATTCCAAATCCTCAATAAATAATTACTCTCGAAATATTTTTAATAATTGCGTTTTTCATTGTACTAATTTAAATTGTTAATTCTTTTAATATATTCACAATGTGTCAACGATATTTTCGTATATTGTAATAATTAATTAAATTAAATTTTTCAATAGTTTTATGATAGTTTTATTGATCTTTTTTATTGTAAAAATTTGTGAATAAAAAAATAATCTAGTCAAATATAACTCGCGAGTTCCATAAATTAGAAAATAATTTGACAGATTTTGTTCAAACTTGTTGCCATTTGGAAACAGCCACTCGAGCCCTGCGGGCTCTCGTGACTATTGCCTGGCAACAAGTTTTCAAAAAATCTGTCAAATTATTTTCAATTTATTCTCACTCTCTTGTTATATTATTACTGAGTATCTGTTTGATATCAACTGAACTATGCAACAAATTAAAAAAGATTAATGAAAATATCTAGATAATTTTATGCAAATGTAATGTATCAATTTAGCAGGTGTTGAACAGATCAATTAAATTTTAATCAGTATATTCATTAAAGGACAACAAAGTAAAAATTAACCTACTTCATAATTAATATAAATAGTAAATATAAATAAATTACTCATTAAATATTTATATCCTTTAATTTGTATTTGGTTTGTTGCTTTACCCAACGTTGTGTAAAATTCTGTCATTTCTTTCCACTGTTTTAAAAACGTATATTGATAGTCCTGCTTTCTGTTGTTTGAGATATGAAGTATGAGCTATCAATAGTCTAAATTTCTAGTCCCAGAAGAGGCAAAACACCATTACAAACATCCCCCCTAAGTACCTCCCTGTAGAGAAAATAAATAATTCGCATTACCACTACTCATAAAAGTCATCACTTTTTTCACTTAATCGTCAGTGCGACAAAATGCCTTCGAACGATTTAGTACAAAGGTCATTCAAGTACCACTTGATAATTATGAAAATCTTCGGCCTGTACCCTTTCGACTCTTGGCCTCAATATTTCACACCGTACGCTCTTTTTCTGTACGTAATATTTACAATTGCAACACCGATTTTGGCAGTCATACACCTAATCGTGGGCGAAAAGCCAATCGTTGATGTCATTACCGAAAACGGCTTTATGATAGTGGAGTTAATAGCGCTTATTGCCAAATTTCTGCCTTTCAAAATGTATCCCGAACGCACGAAGAAGGCGTTCTCCGCTTTGAACAAGGAAATATTCAACAATCACCTGCCCGAACAAGAAGCCGTTCTTGATGAGACTGTGGAAAACTGCAGGTTCATCTTCAGGATATTCTGTATGTCTTGTGCTTTTGCCGTCTTGAGTTGGGCCAGTTTACCTTTGATGTACGAAGACAGGAGATTTCCCATTGACGTATGGCTGCCGTTTGAACCCTTCGAAAACACAGCGGTTTACCTGTCTGTGTACCTCTTCGTGTGCCTGAGTAAGAATTATGATTATAAGGTGTAACAGCAATACGTATATTTTTTTTAATCATTACTTAAGTACTTTTTAACTTAAACAAGCTCTCTACTATAAGAGGGCAATTCCTATGAACCTCGCTTAATATACGACGCACATCAAAAATCTTTGTATGTTTTTTGTTGCATTTTTTGAGGCCTTTATGCTCGTAAAAAGATCCAAAAGAGGAAAAAACAAGTAATTTTTCCATGAAATTTTGTTAAAATAAGTTTTCTCTATCTCTCAAAATAACAGTTAAGAAAAAAACTAATGTACAGTCAAGTAGTCCAGTCACTGAAGGCAAAAATAAAGTAAAAGCTCCCAATTTTGTCGGATAGCATGGATTTTCCTAAAAATTTGCATACCAGCTCATCTGACCCCCCCCCACTTCAAAAGTTATATTGTCTAGATGTGTGTTTTTTTCTTTTTGGGGGTGAAAACTACCCTTGTACGAAAAAATGCGAAAATCGCAGATTTACGTATTTTAAAGATTCAATTCATGATTCATGTTCAAATATGTTGGATAAAGTTCCTATCGTGTTTTTTATATAATTTATGAAATTTAATTACTTTTCAACCCTTAAAAATCCTTAAATTACCCTTCCATGGCCAAAAAAATAGATAAAAAGTATTTAACAGTTTAAAATATTCTTTTGGTGCATTCACATGTATTGCATTTCTTTTGTTATTCATTAGAAAGCTTACGACTCATTACAAAGTTGCAACCCTTAAAAACCATTCCTTATAATAAAATAAAATATTATTGAAAGCTTGAGATGTTTTAATGGTATGCATATGTTGAATTATAAACTTTTTATTGGTTTTCAAATGATCTATGATATATTGCAACTTTTCAGCCACCCAAAAAACCCTTATGGAAGACCTACCCCTCATAAAAAACCCTACCCCTTATAGAAAAATTTCCTAAAAATTATATGTGAGTATGATGATATAATTATTTTTTTTTAATTTTATTGAATTTATTCTTAATATTTTTTTATTAAATTTATATCAAAAAAAAAAAATTATATACATTATAAATGGATACGTGTGTGTATGTATATTATTAAAATACTTACTCAAATCAGTTCACAAGTGCTCCAAAATACACAAAGATGATGGTAATTTACCCGCACCGAAAATTTTACCGAAAAAATGCGATTAATTTTTTTACCATAACTTTTGTAATTTTAAAGTTATAAATTTACTCAAAAAACCATTTTGTAGGGAATTTAAAGCACTTTAAGTTCTGTGATTTGCAGTTTTTTTGAGCCCTTCGTTTTTTAGATTTGTAAGCTAAAAGGGCTCAGGAAAGGCAGTCTTGGAGCTTAGTTTTGAGCTTCTAATGGTCATAACTCAGTCAAATTTTGTTCTACAAAAATTTAAAAAAAGCAAATTGTTCAGTAAGAAAAAACCTACAATTTCTTATTCTATATTTTTTTTATAACTTTGTTAGTTTTTGAAATATTTTGAAAAAAGGCGATTTTTTAAAAAATTGAAATTTTTTTTTAAATTTAGGCTTCTAAAATCGTTCAAATTCCCAGAATCTACTGTTAATACATAAATAAAGTAAATTGCAGAAGGAATACGTTTTATTTTTTTTCCGTCAAGTCATTAATTTTAATACCGATTTTTTTTTCTCAAAAATCAAGACAATCATTTTATTTTGATTGTAACTTCATTAGTTTTCATGCTAACGACTTCTACCACCACTCAATTTAAAGGTCTTTTCAAGAACTTTAATAGGTGTTATATAAGTTTTCCTCGAAAAACCTTTAATTTTTCCGCTACAGGACGTTGAACGTTTCGATTATAGCTATCTTCGAAATTGACTTCAACTTCTGGGAGTCATAACTCGGCTTCTATACCATCTACAAAAATAAAAAAGCAATCTCTGTTATTTAATTACCTTTTTTTTGCTTATGATCATTTTTTTGATAAAACTTGTAGTTTTTGAGATATTCGCGAAAAATGGCTCAAAAACATGCATTTTTTGGGCTAAAACGAATATTATGTTTAGGCGCAAATAACACAAAAAGTATTGACTGTACAAAAAATTCTTATATAGCATTTTTTGCTTAGATTTCGTCCCTCTATCGAATCGTGAGGTTATTTTTAATAAAAAAATTCCCACCCTCCAGAAGGAGTGGCATCCACCCCTAGGGTAAAAGCACACATCGGCACTATATAACTTTTGTTTCTTGGGCTATTCCCTAGCTACAGTTAAAATTTCACGTCAATCCATTCCATCAGAAAAAATTGGTAGCCAAAATGCTTCAGCGACTGGACTGAAGTAAAAATAAAAAAACTTCCAACAAAACATTTATGCCCAGTACCATTAAATTCATTTTCTTGTGCACAGGTGGGGTACACGCTGGATTTGACAATGCAACCGTAGACAGTATAGTGGCTTTACTAATATATAACGCTTCAAGTCAGGTCATAATACTCAAAGATACACTCATGTACCTTAGCAAGAGGACAGAAGACGAAATATCAAAAGAAAATAGATCCCTAAGTACTGAAGAAAAAGAGAATCTGAAATCGAACATCATCTACAAGAAGATATGCCACTGCGTTGACCACTACAACGCCATTTATCAGTAAGTTAAATTACATTCGGTGCAATGAAAATAACTAAACTATATATTTATTTTCCTTTGAGGTTTGTGGAGGATTTAGAAGATATTTTCTCGATGGTGGTGTTCAGTCAGCTCATAGCGAGCATCATAATAATATGCATTTGCTGCCTGCAATTGTCAGTGGTAAGTATTTTTAGTAACCAAGAAATTTCATTTCTTGCTCGTGAAACCTCGAATCTTGAAAAATCAAGATGGCGGACCTCAAAATGCCCGTCAATATTCACAGGTATCGAAATACGAAACACGAGATATGTACATTTTTACGATCAATAAATCCGTTTCAATTTACGTAAACATAAAAGTTAATGAGTATTCGAAGTTGTAAAAATGATACAACAAAAGTCAATATGGCGGCGAGAATCTTGTAAATTTGGGAGGGAATAATACGCGAGCGGTTCACCCCTAGAAAGATGCTTCTAAATGAAGGTAACCGACTAAATTTTTAAAGCAAAAACCTACAGCTTGAAACTTTTTTTATTTTATAAAGTGTATTTTTCTGATAATTTACATATTTTTTTTTTATACTTTTCATCGTGGTCAGTCAATTGTTATAAACAAAAAAGTTGTAAAAAAAAATTACTCGCCGAATGGCTTTCTTGTAAAATGGACCTAAATAAACACTGTTTGTTCTTTGACAAAAATTCGAAAAATGCTTCGCTTCCGAGATATTTACAATTAAATGCGAAAAAAGTGACGAAATCGACAAACCTTCGGAATTTTTTCGTCAAAAACTACTGAACAGAGTTTAATTCTAAAAAGAGCTTAATCATTGGCAGATCTTCTACTTTAAGATATATTTTTTTGGTATAGGTCAATTATTTTATTCAAGGTCTAAAGCGAAAAAAAAAACAGTCTACAAATAGTGAAATTGTAACTCTAGATCCATTGACACATGGATGGAAAATCGAAAATGGTTGTCTGGATTTTAATTATTTCGAAGGAGAAACTGCGTTAGNTTTTCTCGATGGTGGTGTTCAGTCAGCTCATAGCGAGCATCATAATAATATGCATTTGCTGCCTGCAATTGTCAGTGGTAAGTATTTTTAGTAACCAAGAAATTTCATTTCTTGCTCGTGAAACCTCGAATCTTGAAAAATCAAGATGGCGGACCTCAAAATGCCCGTCAATATTCACAGGTATCGAAATACGAAACACGAGATATGTACATTTTTACGATCAATAAATCCGTTTCAATTTACGTAAACATAAAAGTTAATGAGTATTCGAAGTTGTAAAAATGATACAACAAAAGTCAATATGGCGGCGAGAATCTTGTAAATTTGGGACGGAATAATAGGCGAGCGGTTCACCCCTAGAAAGATGCTTCTAAATGAAGGTAACCGATAATAATTGTCTTTAAAAGACTTTTTTTTACTCGCTTTAGACCTTCAATAAAATGATTGACCCATACCCAAAAATATATCTTAAAGTAGAAAATCTGCCGATTATTATGCTCTTTTTAGAATTAAAATCTGTTCAGTAGTTTTTGAGAAAAAAATTCCGAAAGTTTGTCGATTTCGTCACTTTTTTCACATTAAATTGTAAATATCTCGGAAACAAAACATTTTTCGAATTTTTGTCAAAGAACAAAAAGTGTTTATTTTGGTCCATTTTACAATAAAGCCATTCGGCGAGTAATTTTTTTTTCCAACTTTTTTGTTTATAACAATTGACTGACCACGTCGAAAAATATAAAAAAATATGTAAATTATCAGAAATATACACTATAAAATGAAAAATGTTTCATGCTGTAGGTTTTTGTTTTAAAAATTTGGTCGGTTCATGCCTTTTTTTTAAAGGTGAACCGCTCGCCTATAAGAACTCGTATTAATTAGAAAAAATCCGTTCATTTTGAGATGTCTGATATAAATCAGTAGGTCAAATATGAATTTTCTTTTTCATTGACACATTTTAAGAATACTTTGTTCTATAATATTTTTTCGCAGAGATCTTATTTCTAGAGTTAAAAAATCATCAAAGTTATTGTACGTCTGCATATGGACATCAGCCATTCTGAGGTCCGCCATCTTGATTTTTCGAAAAGGCCACAGTTCTGTAAAGATAGACATTTATAGTATACCGTGTGTCCCCGGATGGGGATAGCCATGGGCAGTAATCAAATACGTAATAAAACACACAGGACATCCAAAAAATTTCAAAATGTCAAATTTTTTCTAAGCAAAGTACCTTTAATTTTTGTTTTCGTTAAAAACTGTATTTAACAAAGTTGTTCGAGAACTCAAGAAATCCTTAAACACGCGGTTTAATAAAAAAAAGAAGAATAATTACATTTTGCAAATAAGAAGATGCGATTTTTAACTATCTTACTTAAAGCAGACAGAAATTGTAAAAAAATAAGTAAACTTTTATTTTAAATTTAATATGATATAAAAATAGTTTGGTAGGACAATTTCCGGGTTGATTGTCCGTCGCGTCGTCGGTTTCCGTTTCTTGTTCTTTTCTGACTAAACCCCGTTGTTGAGTTCTCGAACAACTTTGTTCAATACAGTTTTTAACGAAAACAAAAATTAAAGGCACTTTGTTTAGGGAAAATTTCACATTTTGAAATTTTCTGGACGTCCTGTATGTTTTATTATACAGGGTGATTTCACTTTAAATACAGAAACTGCATGAATAGATTAGTTGCCAAAAAATATGTATAGTTTGCTCTATAAACTTTTTCCTGGGGACGTGGTATTCAGATGTAGGGTGTTTGTTTCGAAAAAAAATTATATTTTATGTCATATCTTAATAATTAGTCCAACCAAATTACACTTGGAGAAAAAAAATTGTTAACTGGACTTTTATAAGTGGAAATGGTAAAAGGGCTTATAATAAACCTAAAAAAATAAATGCGTGAGCAGGGGTGGCGGAAGGTTGATTTGGGGAGTTGAAAAATTGTAAAAAATTGTATCATTGGGATTTCTGGCGAAAGTTGACGTCAAACAAAGAAGTATCCAATACAAAAGTTGTAGATCGTGCAAAAATCTACAATTTTTATAGAAGTCACTTTTTCAGATAACCTCAAAATTTACGAGAAAAATGCGAAAAACAGATTTCTTCTGATTTTTCGTTTTTTATTTCTCATTTCCGCAAAAATAATTTAATTTTGACAAAACTTGGTGAAAGTATACTTTTCTGTATCTTAAATAACCACAAATTTTTTTAGTGAACCCTCTGCCACCCCTGCTCACGCATTTACTTTTTTTTCGTTTATTATAAGCCCCTTTACCAATTCCACTTATAAAAGTCCAGGTAACAATTTTCTTTTTTTCCCCTCTAAATGAGTTATTTCTTCCCAAGAAAAAAAAAATACGTCACTGATGATTTTTTGTAGAAATAATGTTAAATTCAGGTACAGTTAAATTTGTTATGGTTGATCTATTATTTAAGAAGCCAAGCTGAAATTGAGATAATTGATTATGTACAGATAGATATATGCGGTTATATAAAACAATTTCAAACAATTTTGCAAAATTCGAAAGAACAGAAATTGATTTATAATTGATAATAAGGCTATTATCACCGTTTTTGGGAATAGGGCATGCTCTAGCTATTTTCCATAGTTTAGGGAACTAATTTTCACTGCCAGATTAAATAAATAACAGAGTGCTTTCACAATGAATGAAGGTATAACGAATTGCCATAATTTGCATATCTGACATGAAGACAATCCCCATGCAATAGTACAGAGAAAGCACCAACAAAGGTTCATGGTTAACATATGGGCGGGGATTATTGGGAATCATCTCATTGGATCGTTCTTTTTTTGAAGACATTAAATGGTGCCATGTATTTGCAATTCTTGCAACAAAGTTTAAATGATTTATTAGAAAATGTGCCCTTAGAAATTAGAAATCAGATGTAGTTTATGCATGACGTGCATCGCCCCAATTTAGCAATTTAGTTCAGTCAGCACTTATCAAATACTTTTGGTTATCAATAGATAGGTCGAGATGAGCCTATCTTATGGCCACCCAAGTCGCCCAACATGACTCCTTTGGATTTCTTTTTATGGGGAAATTTAAAGAGGCTTGTGTATTCGACGCCAACTTAGGTACACCAGGAAAAACCTGATAGAAAAAATAACACACCATTGCAATGAAATTCGAGACAATTCTGGAATATTGTTTTCAGTACAACGAGAAAACATCTGTCGGATAAGGAAATGGAAAAAAGGCGACCATTTTGAAAATCTGCTGAAATAAACAAGAAGAAGCAGAGCTTTCGAATTTTTAACAGCATTGCGTTTAAGTGATTTAGAAATGTATCAGAATAAATTCTTTTTGCCTCCACACAATTGCCGAGTGCTTGTCCATCCATAAGTTAGATGCATGTAAGCATTAATGAAATGTAATAATGCCCAAATTTTATTTTAATACGAATTATTAGTTGTTATGTTATCCCATAATTATTGTGTTTAAATAGCTTATGTTAATAAACTTTATAATTAAATAAATTAATGTTTAAACGTGTTAGATATACACAACTGAGTTTTTTAAAACAGCTGATTTTATCAAAACAAATGTAGAGTTCCTTTTTTAAAGAGGAATAATCAAAGTATTTAAAAATTCAGATTTCAGCTCTATAAAGTGACACCTGTCAAAATTTTATGTTGACCTCCCCTATACACTCCTGAGAGTATGCCATATACTTACCAGACACCCTGTATAGTGGTACATATTCATCAAAAATCTTATACAGCTTTTGGTAAAAATCCTGCACCCTGCAGTTAGATTTATATTATCAATTTGCAATAAAAAAGACCAATCACATTCCAAAATTGCGTTATACAGGGTGTCCCAGAAGAACATGATCAAAAAGCTACTGATATATTCTTTGGCTCAAAAGAAGACGATTTGACCTATAGTAGGATCGTATACGATGCAAATTAGAGCAAAAAATTGTCGGCCTTTTATCAAAGGAAAATCGTGTCATCATTTTTAGGAGGCGTAAGATAAATCATTTCAAATTTAAAATGAAATTCAATGTAAAATCTGAAATACCGCTGCATACGCACTGTGTTCTGGTAGTAGCTGTAGTCGCCCAGGTGCATCGAGTGTACGAACTGGTCGGTTATACGTCAAATACTAACCTGGCGAGCTTTGCCGTCAATTAGAGAGCGCTTCCAAAAAACAAGTAAACAACAGTGGCGCGTACAGAGGTAAAATGTAGTACATATGTGGAATTTAGGAAACAAATTGGATTTATAATAAATTACATTTAAAATAAATAGTTTATGAGAATAAAGGAATTTTTGTAG